GCCATCTCCAGCGGTCTTGATCTCAAAATGTGACGGAACTATTTGAAGTGAGCGATCCCTTTCTGATGGGTTTTAAACGGGGGCTCATTAACAGGTTTGTATCAGTCAGCGTTAAAGTGAAATGTGACCACAGAGCTGCTGGAGCCGTACAAAAACCACAAGCAGACAACAGAAGAAGCCTGAGCTGGTTCTAAAAAACTTTTTTCCCTTCATTTAATTCCTTTAATGCTCTGCGCTGGACTGTGTCTGAAACAAGCACTCTTGGAAATTGAGCACTTTGTCTTCTGGCAGACTGTGTGTGTGTATGGAGGTGTGTGTGCTGTGAATGGAGTGAAAGTATCACACACACACGTGCAGCTGGGCTCGGCGTCAACGAGTCTTTTAATGACCAGGTCGTGGATCATCAGCGGACTCGGGAGGAATTATTAAAACGTGACTTCTTTAAACAGTTTATTGGCCTGTTAATGAAAGTGCGTGTCTCCAGAGAGGAAAAAAAAAAAAGATGTTATGTGAGAAATGGTTATTTTTTTTATGTAATTTTATATATTTGTAAATGATTTTTGCTATAAAATGTGTTTAAATAGTCAAACTGATCAAGTGGGCTCCTAAGATACGAGATTTAGCTAAAGCTAAAAAAGTTTAAGTACGCAATGTCCATTTTTAAATGCGTCTTAAAATAGGGTTGAATAGAGAGGTTTTTATGAACAAGTAATATCTTACCTGCTGTAGGTAAGTTTTTGAACAACCTCAGTGTTAGAAAAATCCTCTTTCGCCAACGTTTACTCAACGAATCACAAACTGACGGTAGGTGAAGATTTTTAACCGTTTTTTTTTACTTACAAGGGCCACATTTAGGAGCCGCGGAACGAACCTCGAACCTGGTCTTTAGGTTGACTTTTTTTTTTTATAACATAATCACAACAGAAACATTTCAGGGGTGTTCCTCCGTTACTCACGTCCTGAAGTCAGCTGCACAGGTCTTAACTCACGAAAGCACACTTTGTCTGCCCAGATGTGGCCCATGGGCGTCAGGGAGACACCGCGAGTCGACCTCCCCGTCGAGTTAACGAGGATGTTTTGAGAGTCGGCTGACCAGCAAGTTTTCATGGCAGGAGGGAAAAAAGGTTCTCAGAAATAATATAAAAACACTCATAACTCATTCTTTAACACTCAGTTTAGAGACCACAGTTTATTTCTGACCGTACTGATGAGCTAAGGGCTAGTCTGAGTGAAACCTTGTCATAAAACACCATTCATCCATTATCTTTCCCCACTTCTTTCTTTTCGGATCACTGGGGGTCACTGGTGCCCATGTCCAGCCATCACTGTGCGAGAGGCGGGGGATAGAGTTGCACTGAGCCAAAAAATCCGACCCAAGCCTGTAGGTTTTTTTTTCTGAGCCCGGCCCGACCAATTAACTGTAATTAGAGGTCCAAACCCCCCCAAAAAACTTTTTATTTTTATTAAGCTTTTACTGCTTTTGTAAGCAAATCATTTTAAAAACGTATTTCAAAGAAAGGAAGATATAAGAGTTCTTGTTTCACGAAATGGATATTAACATACAAAATGAATAGTCTAAAAAAATCAACTCTAAAGGCTATTATACAGATGAACAAAATATCTTTAGAGCAAAATTATTTGTAAAAATACAGAACAAGGCTATTTTAATTGAATGCGCTGCTTGCTTCAGCTTTTGTAGCTTCAGATGCTGCAACTTAATTCACCGCCGATGACAGCAGGGTGCGAAGCGAGACGCACGCGGCCGATGATCCAGTTGTCCATCTGAAGCTTAACTCGACTTTTTTTTTTTTTACTTCTTTTAACCGGACGGTCAGTGGACACGCACGTCTGATGATCCCGTTGTCCATCTGAAGCTTAAGACTTTTTTTTTTTTTTTTTTTACCTCTTTCAACCTGCTGGTCGGACCTGAGCGTGCACCTGACCTGACACACATCAGCAGGTTCCGCTGTGCTGGCTTTGTAAAGTGAGTTCTCCCATTTTTAGCTTTTGTTTAATATTTTCCAGCTCCATTATGTCGCTTCTTGTGGGTCAATAGCAAATCCTCAGATGTGTGATAAGAGCAAAGGGCGGGCGGGGCCACATGTACAATTAAAACCGCATCAAAAGCCCGATCCCGCCCGCCCATCAAGCACATGATTTTGGCCCGACTCGGCCCAAATTTCAAGTCGGGTCAGGCCAGAAATCACAGCTATGGCGGGGGACACCCTGGACAGGTCTCCAGTCCATCACAGGGACACGAGACAAGCAACCATTCACTCTCTCACTCACACCTAGGGATAATTTAGAGTTACCAATCAGCCTAACATGCAGGTTTTTGGTCCGTGGGAGGAAACCGGAGTACCCGAAGAAAATCCACGCATGCACAGAGAGAACATCCAAACTCCACCCAGAAAGGTCCCCTGGCCGGGATTTGAACTGGCAATCTTCTCGCTGAGAGGCAACAGCTCTACCGACTGAGCCACTGTGCTGCCCCATAAAACACCAGTTTAAAAAATTTCTTAGCGAATTATGCAAATGCTATGTTATGCCAACAGAAATTCATTCAACCTTTATTTAGACAGGTAAATCCCATGGAGCCTCGAGGACTCATTTACAAGAGAGACCTGAAAGAAAATCTGGTTTTGCCTCAGAAACTGATTCAGACTGCACCAGAAGTGCTACAGCTAGCTGCTGCTGCTTCCATAGAGTCTTGTAGCTGTTATGTGAAACTAACAACAGTGGAAAGATTTATAAAATGCACGTGAGATTTTTGAGATTGGAGTTGTTTTAAGACAATAACCCACATATCATTTAGCCTCACGCTAACTAGCCGTTAGCTCATCAGTCTGGTCAGAATTAAACTATTATTCCTCCAAACTGAGGCCATTCAATGAGCTATCTACAGCAGGTAAAATAATGATTGTTCATGACCTTCCCAAAGAATCCCACTTCATAATATATAACCATTGTACTTTTGTCAGTGTTCAGCTGATCTGCTCTCGGTTTGAAGACGGAGACAAAGAAAGCTTTATAGAAGACAGACGTCTCCATGAAATGTGTTTTTTTTTTTTTTTTTTTTTTTTTTGCAAATGATTTTCCAACAGCATCGAGCAGCTTTCAAGTGCAAATAAAATGTATTTACTCATCTCAGGTACTTCTTTCCTCCCTTTGTCCAACACGTCTGTTATTTTTAGAGGTTTCAGAAAATATTTCAAAAGAGCACCTTGAAGTGTTCACATTAAAATGTCTTGAAAGCAGATTTGACAAAGATGTGAGTGGGGAAAGGAATCAATTTAAAAACAGGTGCATGAGCCTCGGGTGTTGCAGGATGATTCCCTGTGGTTTGGAATAATAAAAACATGCAGCAATGTTGACAGCCGAGAGCACAAGGGGTAAATAAAGATATTAACAAAATGCTTTTGTGTGAAATATGAAGAAAAATAGCATTATTAAACTTTATTATTCATATCTTCAGCTAAGAAATGCAACAGAATAAAGGTCTATCATGTTTGATGAAGATCTGAACCCAAATGCAAAAACCAAAACTTAAGAAACTCAAATATAAAAACAACTAGAGAAAATACAGTTCCTGTAAAAATGCAGTGTGAATGCTTATTGCAGAAAAATAGCTGAAATTAGCTAAAAACATAAAATGTAACTGAAATGGAAGAACCAAACTAAATTAGAAGAAGAAAGCAGAAAGAACACATATTTGCTGAATTAGGTTTAAATAAGCACAACATTAGGAAATTAGCTAAAAAACTAAAATTAGCAAAGACATAGCTGAAAAGGTAGAAAGAAGCTTAACCTACCAGAAGGAAGTGGAAGGAACTGAAATTACCTTAAAAAAATGGAAATAGATGAAAACGTGAAATTTAGCACCAAAACCGCTAAATAGCAGCTGAAATGGCAGAAAAAAAATTTAAACTAGCTGAAAGGAGCATAACAACCTGAAATTACCAGAAAGAAGTTGTTTAGGCTGAATGTAACAACAATTACCATGAAAATTTTGAATTTATCTGAAAACAGCTGAAAGGAGCTAAAATGTGCTGAAAACGGTAGAACAAGCTTAAATTAGCAGAAGAAAGAAAACAGAACGTTTGCTCAGTTAAGCTAAAAGAAGCAAAAATTAGCACAAAAAAGTGGAAATTATCTGGAAAAAAGGTGAAATAAGAAAAAAAACAGCTGAAAAGTAGCTAAAAAGGCAGAAAGAAGCTTAAATTACCAGAACAAAGTGGAGAGAGCAATTTTGCTCAATTAGGCTGAAAAAGGTTGAAATGAGTGCAAAAAATCTGGAATTAGCTGAAAAAGCTCAAATTAGCATGAAAACAGATAAATAGTAGCTGAAATAGTAGGAAAAAAGCTGAAACTTGAAGAAAGAAGCTGAAAGACACACAACAAGCTGAAATTAGAAGAAAGAAGATGGAAAAAGCACAAATTGTTGTAGTTAGCAGAAAGAATCTGAAAGGAGCTCAAAACAGCTGAAAAAACAGCTGAAAGTAGCTGAAAAAATGTGAAAATTTGCACAAGGAAACTGAAAGAAGCTGAACCAGAACAAAATATGAAAGGAGCAGTAAAAGGTTGTAAACAGATCTGAAGATGTGAAGGATGTAAAATGAGCTCAATTCATTTTCTCTGAGGAAAAACAAAACAGCAGAAAAGGCTAAATATTTCAAAAAGCTAAAGTTGCACCAATAGCAGGATTGTCCTGAATGAGCTGAACATTTTGATATGATTTGTTGAAATAACATAAAAATTGTGGAACGAAGATGCCGAAAAACGCATAGAAGAAAAATGGATCACAATAGTGTGAATGCTTCATAAAGATTCACACTATTAATTTATTTAAACTAAAGTCTGTGTCCGAGGAGCTGAAGCGCATGAGGGGAAATCACTGCGGGAGCAGGAAACCAGCAAAACACAATCACACAAAACTAAATGACACACGACGCAGACCGTGAGCGGGTCCAGTGAATGTTCAGGTGTTATTTCCCCGTTAGGTTGGAGTCGCCCACTCGAACTCTGAGCATGGAGGCGCCGAGAGGGGTGGAAGTGAGCGGCGCCGAGGGGACGCTGAAGATCAGCAGCAGGAAGGACCTTCAGCTGGAATCCACAGAGGGAGAGGTGAGAGGATTTCAGCTTGCACTGGGATGTCAGAGGTTCATGCTGGTGCCATTTAGTTCTTGATCAGTTTGCATTTCCATCAAGTTAGCTTTAAACCTCCACTTTTTATTCGATATCATCGGAGAAAATCTACAACCTTTACATTCAGTGTATGAAGTAACCTGAAGGATTGAGTAGAACTGAAACTCCCATTGAAAAAATATTTTAGTGGTGGAAAATATTTCTGCTGGCAACAATTAATCTTTTTAATTCTAACTTTATTTCATAAACGGAACAGCGTATTATTACGCTGGGTACGTATTATTACGGTTCGTCCTTCATCCAAAGGACTTCATCAGTCCGAGGAGCCACAACAAACTCAGTCCCACAAGCAGCACTC